CTCACTAGTCCGCCCCTGAAAATGTCTATGCAAACGTTATTATTAATAATAATTTAAAAAAAAAATTATTAAAAAAATTAATCAATTTTTTTTTTAATACATTTTTTTAATTTTTTTAATTTTTTAATCATCTCGCGACCCCCACTTTGGGAACCCCTGATCTAGACTACCTGTTTTTTTCGAGCAGCTAAAAACCCTCAAAAAGAAGTTCCCAGATTCAAAATGCTCTAAAATGAATGCTCAGTCTCATACTGAATATCCTTTCTAATATCTTTCGTCACGTTGTCCTCGTGCAGACGTGGCCATCAGCTCTCCGTTTGGCGGGGAGGACCAGCAGGGTCTCGTCTACATCTTTAACGGTTTCTCCGAGGGTCTGAAGGAGAAACCCTCGCAGGTGATTTCGGGTCAGTGGGCTGCAGGATCGGTTCCTGCCAGCTTCGGGTTCTCCCTCCGAGGAAATAAAGACCTGGACATGAACGGATACCCAGGTGAGGAAGACTTCTCCCATTATGCACCGCCAACATTACATTTGTATTATGTTTCCTAACTCTTTTAATTGACTTCCTCAGATCTCATTGTCGGTGCCTTTGGTGTCAATAAGGCGGTTCTCTACAGGTATGATCGTTTGAAACATATACAGTGTTGTATAAAGATATTCTGGTATTGATAATAATAATAGCTATATTTTTATAGAATCTCTCCACCTTCACCTCCAGGCTTTTCCTTTAAAAAAGTCTAAATCATTTTTGATGATAAGTTCTTTAATCTGCACATAGTTAATGACACATTCGACTGATTATCTTTCAAATCTCGTACAGTTATTACAATAAGATCATGCTTATTCAGGCTGTGATAATAGTGTAACGAAAACCTGATATCATGACGGACATTAAAGGTCCCATGTCATGCTTTTCTGGTTATTACCCGTCCCCTTCTGTGTTCTGCAGAGTCACAAACTCTCAAAGTGCACCCTGTAGCGAGTAAAACTCTAACACAGAAAAGACCTGTCTATGCTGCCCCAGAACGCCTCGTTGGAGATTTCTCTTTTTCTTCCTGGGTACAGTGACGTGTCCATACCCATTGGTCCAAATGGACCAATCCGTGGAACCGGTACGTTATGTCCGCAGAGCCGTTACGTTAAGTCTGTGGTTTGGTCCAAATTGACCAATCCACGGACTTCCTCAAGCACACACTCAATCTTTTCTCAGCTGCAGCTCCG